ACCACCAAGTTGTGTTTTGACGCGTTGGGGGAGAGGACGGCAGCTGAAACGGGAGTCGTCCATTGACTAAATACCTGAAATACGACCGATTTAGGAGGTAGGTGGGTCGTTCTCTTTTGTAGATGTGAAATCTTGATTTGATGAACGTGGAGAGAGAGAAATTTGAGTCTTGAATGGTGAAATGTGGGCTGAAAAGTGCGAGGCCGGTTTATGGTAAACGCGTCGTCTGCTGGACACTGGTTTATGCGGGCGAACGTCACACTTTCCATGAAAAACTGTTTTTCTCATATCGCTCTCTTTTCTCTTAATCAGTAACACGCCACGCCAAGCAACGCTCTCCTTATGACACTATAATGTATTTTAAGTTGTAACATGTAAAATGACTCTAGCCATAAAAGATTAAAAGGTTCGACCAACGACCAATTGTGTAGCTTATTACAGATTCCGGAACATGGGTCAGCATTGTAAGGGCAGGGTAATTTTATTTTCAGTGGTGCTGTAAGTGATGGTCTTGAAATACTCGGTAGGTACGATATTCAGAAATGAAATCTTAGAGGAATTTTAGCATCATTTCCTTTCAGATTAGTTTTTCATTAACAAGAGAAAATGGTTAATTTTCCAAAAATGACAACTGGGTCTTCCCTGACAATGTTTATATCATCAGATTTGTTCTCGTGTGATGAGAACGAATCTGATGATATTCTCCGTCGGATTCTCCAGCCGACAATCTTGATGTGTTTTCATAAGTCCCGATAGCAGGGGAGGGCATGAAGTAGATCAGGGAAATTACGGGGTAAAACAGGCTGAAATAAGCAAAATGGAGAGCAGAAATGTGTAAAACAAGCACAAAAAACGCTTAAAATCGGATAATGAAACTCTACGGACATCGCCGCCATCTTTCAAAGTCTACGGACCGACGCGCCAAATTTCGAAAAACTCTACGGGAACCAAACCCACCGTTCGGTAAAAATCTACGGGATTTCACATAATCCAGATCCCCTGTGATAATCGTACAATGCGTCCTAACCAACAAACCAACCTAACCTAACCTAGCCTAGCCTAGCCTAACCTAGCCTAACCTAACCTAGCCTAACCCTGTGGGATTTATACACTACGATCTATATATTCCCTAGCCAGGGGGCTCTGCCCCCTGGACCCCCATGGTATTAAATGCGCCTAGCCAGGGGGCTACGCCCCCTGGACCCCCGTAGTAATATACCACATACCTTTATAAAACGAAAAACCGAACTATTGTGCGCTTCCGTCCATGGTCAGAATTGCTTGGTTTCTAATCACTTTTTTCGGCATTTGGGGCACTTGTTGGGCTCAAATATCAGGCTTGTGATTGAGAATAATGTCTATTTGTCCTGTATATCCACAATATAGTTTTAAAAATAACCCGATGTCGACACAGCACTTGAAATGAAACATTTTTCACCGGTGTTTCTGAGCGAATGGCGGTGGGTCGACCTGTCAAATCTCCCGGTGAAAACGCGCATGCGCAAAAGGTTATTGTATAGAATAACGTAAATAATTACCAAAAGACGCAAGAGAAGTATAATAAAACTAGAAGAATGCATTACATACATGAATTCAGAGAATCAGACGCTAGTAATGACAAAATAAGCGTTCTCACAAGCGCGTAGCAATACATGGACTACTTGCTGGATCGCAGTAATGAGTTACGCGTCACAATTGTTTTGATCTCGCAAGGTAAACATGGAAGGGGACTTAGAAAATGAAGGGTCGAGTTTCTCTCTTCTCTGTCCTATATCTCCCTTATTTTAGATTTGCGCAGTTGTTGCCATAGATGAAAAGTGTCTTACTTTTCGTCAAGGTATCCATTCCATACACTTATTTTACTGTACGATTGGTTGACATGCGCGGAAAATTTTCCGAGAAAATGGCAATTTATTAGTTTCATACAGCCATCCAAGCTTCCATTTGGTATTCCTTGTTTCAGTTATGCAAATTATGGATCTTCTGTTTCTCAAATAATATAAATGACTTTTTTAACAAACTAACTGCATCCCTCGTGATGGTAAGTCCCTAGTACCCTAACCACTCCTAATATGTGGACAGGGTCAGTAATGCCACAAATAAAGGCAAAAAAACAGAAGGTGCCATTCACAGCCTAAATCCACTTGGTGCTCCCGAGATTTGGCTCTCTTGCCAAGCATAGAGAGGTGAAGACAATGTTTGTTGGCCCCCATCAACTCTCCCCTCAGGCAGTGCCCAAAGGGCATACCCAGTCATGGCAATTATGGAATACATTTTTTGATGTGGAGTTTTGAACTTGGTCTCTGATGTGTTTGTCTATACTGTAAATAACTACCTGATATTCATGTACAGGACAAAAAAACTGCAGACACAGAACAAGAAATAATTTGCTGATACAAACTGTATTGAAACAAAGGAAAAAAAAGTGCAGTAAGCTATGCTTGCATGCAAAGTCCACTTGGTGTTCCTAAGTTGATGTATATACTGAAGTGAAGATAATGTTTGCATGGGGTGCAAAGCCAGAGACCCCAGTCAACCCTCCCTATGGACACACCCAGTCATAGTAGCTTAGGTTGTTGAAAAAATTGTAATGTAGTGTTGGGGACATTCTCAGGATGTATAGAATTACCAAAATGAGGCCACAATCAATTAATAAAGTCCGTACATCAGTGTTTATATAAGTAATAATAATTTAGTTTCACACAGTCATCCGACCATGAAATTCTTATTTCTTGTTTCAATTGTTCAAGCTGTAATATGCGTAAATCTGTTTTCCCTTTGCAAATGATGCAATTAAAAGTATTAGTAATTGTTTACAAAGTAATTGCAGCCCTCTTTATATAAATGTTTACCAAGCTATTATGTGTGGCTCAACTTTCAATACCTTGGGCTCTGCACTTGTGCGTTTGTGGCAAGTCATTCTTGTCACCCTGTCACCTGGATCGTAGCATTAATTTTAAAATTTTTCTTGTGAAGGGATTGTACTAAGTGAAAATCCAATTTTTCCCTTTAGTAATTTGCCATGTCCTTTCATTTTATTTATTATCTTGCACCCATATTTTCAGGGTGACTAAGTTTATCTGTTGACCAGGTTTTACTTGTATTTTTGCAATATAATTTGTTGACTCCTTACTTTTTATAATCAGGCTGGAGTATCCATTCAGGAGATTTATTTTCCTTTGCTGGAGTCTAACTTGCTGAGGCCATGGCATTGCTTTGTTTAGTCATAATCTGAATAAATCCTCAAAATGTCATGTTTATGATAGATATGTGTATGTATTAGAACATCTGTGAAGGAGCAGTGGAGACGTAAAACAAAGTTTGTGCTGGCATATTTTACTTTTATGGCTTAGGGAGAGCTTTGAAAAGAGGTATAGGGAGAGCTATAAAAAGGGGTATCAGATAACTTTTATGGGAACTTATTTTTCAAAGTAAGTAGTTTTTTTTATATTCTTTGTCAGAGAGTTTGGACAATATTTAAGTAGATATTATTTTTTAGAAGGTAATTTTTTACAGTATGGACTTACTAACTAGAGACTAAGTCCCCAACTCTACGTCACAAGATTGATTAAACTTTATAGGTTTTCATACAGTCATGCAGTACAAGGTAAAATTTGCCTATAATGGACAGAATGACTGAAAACTAAGACCTCTTTATGGTATTTCTTTCACAAGTTGTTGATAAAGTTGTGCAACACTTGATACTTTGGTATACTTTTACATGAAAATTTAATAACACTATCATAATCAGAGAAAAACTACACTCATTTATACATGAAATCTGTGTTGGCAAAAAATAAAATCAGAAATGAAGAAAATATATTGTGAGAAATACTGTGCGGATAGGAAGATGTGTGGTTCATACAACAATGTTTGTGGATTTCCCTTGTGTGAGATAGAGCTGAAACTCAAGAACTCTTGTGCTCTGAGCAATGCTTTCTGAGCATTGCTGTTTGTCTGCAGTTTATTTCTTGTACTAATGACTGCACTTTTTTGTCCTCTACAAGAATATCATCTATTTACCCAAGCTTAGTGAACTGATACTGTAAAGATTATTTTTTTTTGTGGTAAGAAGCTAATCCAAACATAAGACTAATATAGAATCAATTTGATACTGCCGCATAAATTAATTGGAAAAAGTAAATATCTGCTAATTCAGAGTGTGAAGAGAGTGCCCACAATAACCCAGAAGAGACTCAACAAATCACCACCATGTAAATTGTGGCCAGATAGAATTTACTCACCTTATTCATACTTATAGCCAATAGAGAACTGGTTCAAGCTTCTCCTACCAAGTGTATAAAGGTGTTGGAAGTACATTAACCTTTGCCAAAATCCAAAATATACAAAAACAGCATTGGTTGACGAGGTCATGTACTTGATAAATCTTGGTACTGTAATTGTTCAGTTTATACCTGCATGAAAGGACACTGTGGCTGCCATGTTTTACCCAGCCCTTTGTGTGTGAAATGGGGGAGAAAAGGAAAGCATGAAAAAATAAATTCATTGGGTATTGATACTCCTATTGCTTTTCTATTATAGCTTGGGAGCATTCCTGGGAATCAAGACAAAACATTAATTAAAAATGAGTAAAATTGTAGGTGTAAGATATTTATATCAAGTTACCAATTTTCTCAAGTGAAAGTTCAATAATCAAACATGAGCCAAGTTTGAGAACCTATTAATTTTAATGTTTAACATCAGAAATGAAGAAAATATATTGTGAGAATACTGTGCGGATAGGAAGATGTGTGGTTCATACAACAATGTTTGTGGATTTCCCTTGTGTGAGATAGAGCTGAAACTCAAGAACTCTTGTGCTCTGAGCAATGCTTTCTGAGCATTGCTGTTTGTCTGCAGTTTATTTCTTGTACTAATGACTGCACTTTTTTGTCCTCTACAAGAATATCATCTATTTACCCAAGCTTAGTGAACTGATACTGTAAAGATTATTTTTTTTTGTGGTAAGAAGCTAATCCAAACATAAGACTAATATAGAATCAATTTGATACTGCCGCATAAATTAATTGGAAAAAGTAAATGATATCTGCTAATTCAGAGTGTGAAGAGAGTGCCCACAGTAACCCAAAAGAGACCCAACAAATCACCACCATGTAAATTGTGGCCAGATAGAATTTACTCACCTTATTCATACTTATAGCCAATAGAGAACTGGTTCAAGCTTCTCCTACCAAGTGTATAAAGGTGTTGGAAGTACATTAACCTTTGCCAAAATCCAAAATATACAAAAACAGCATTGGTTGATGAGGTCATGTACTTGATAAATCTTGGTACTGTAATTGTTCAGTTTATGCCTGCATGAAAGGACACTGTGGCTGCCATGTTTTACCCAGCCCTTTGTGTGTGAAATGGGGGAGAAAAGGAAAGCATGAAAAAATAAATTCATTGGGTATTGATACTCCTATTGCTTTTCTATTATAGCTTGGGAGCATTCCTGGGAATCAAGACAAAACATTAATTAAAAATGAGTAAAATTGTAGGTGTAAGATATTTATATCAAGTTACCAATTTTCTCAAGTGAAAGTTCAATAATCAAAATATGAGCCAAGTTTGAGAACCTATTATTTTAAATGTTTCTTGATGTGCATATGATTCAAACAGATATTCTTCACTTGCTTTCCTATTTCTAAGGTATTTTATATGACCAGTCATAACCTAACATAGCCAGGCCTTTATATTATCCCATAGTCACTTTTGCTCTTCTCTCCCTAACCCCTTGATTACTTTAAAGATATTTTGTATAACCTAAACCTTTCAGATATTAATCCAGTCATACTGGGTGACATTTTAACCCATTGCCGCCGGGGGTGACATGTACGTACATGCCATGCCCACTGTGAGCCGACTTGTTTGATTGTTTTTACACATAGATGGCTACACTTGTACTAAGTATCCAATGAGCCAATTACGAGTACTGCCTGTCTCGCCTGTTCACCCTTTTCATCGATTTACGAAAATATTTAACGTTATCCTAATTTGCTGTTAAAATAACACCATCTATATTTATAGCACTAGTAAGAATACAATGTTTCCTGCCAATTCAAGGAAAGGTGAAATCAGGACTAGCAGAGCCATCTATGGACAGACATATTTCACAAAAATATGAAAAATGAGTACTGTATTTCCCCCATTTTTTGCTCATTTTCCATGGTGGCAATGGGTTAATTGTCATAAAAATTTTACTGATGCTGGATGACATCTAAGTATATCATTAGCCTGGCCATGACCCAGTCAAGTGTCTAGGCATAGAATGATGTACACTTACTTTATTCAGTATTTTACTTGGCAGTAATGAGTTAATCCCCATGCAAGGAAGGCTTCTCTTTGTCCCTCCCAGATCCTCCCTTCACCTTTCTAGTACATTTTTTTTATAAGTAAACCTAAACATAGGCTATATATTGTATCCCTGTCAAGGGTGTCTTCCCCCTTACTCTCAGGATGGTGTTGTGCTTACGGTGATCGTACTACTTGGTTTCGAAAAAAAAAAAAAAGATATGAAAACAAACATACATGAGTTGAAAAAAAAACTAGGAGGCAGATTTCCATATTGAATTACAACTGCATTGTTTTCCATTTTCTGTTTTTTTTTATTGTAAACTAGTCTAGAAAATTCATTTTTATTGTAAACTTCCAAAATCCTAGAAAAGTGTTAAATTCCTTACTGTACATTTATTCATTTTTGAATACGAGAAAAAAATCCTGAAATTGATGTACATTGAGATAATGGAAGATGTTCTTCACCTTCCTCCTTTTCATCTCCACACTTTTTTTTTTTTTTCCCCACTGAGTATATTCCCTGTCCAATGGAAGTTTTGGTTTGTCAATTTTGTTAATGGATAGGTGGCTTCACAAGCATGTGATTTTTTAAAAGTATTTATTATTGCTGAGATGATATTGTTATTGAGATTGTTAGCATTATTATCTTCATAGTGTTATTAATGATAGTTAATAATATATATATTTTTTCTTCACAAATTCAAGGAATAGTGTAAACTGGTGTTAGGTGGACCTAGTTAGTAATAAACTTTCTGGTGACTAAGTATTTGTGGAGCCATTTGTGTAAAGAAAAGTAATAAAATATTGTCTGATATTATTTTTGGGTAATATGTTTGATATATGTGAATATATGCATAGCAATATAGTTGATTATATGTTCAACATAATTCTGGTTGTTTCAGTAATATTTATTGTTTAAATGTGCCTAAGAATTGAAATACATGTATGTGGATCTGGGTACATTAAACAGATTTGCAACTTGTTTCAAAGTACTGATTGCCTAAGGTGTATATTTTTTTACATTTTCATCAGGATTTCTATATAAGGAAGAGCATGTTTGTCTTTTCCTTTTAATTCAAGTATTTTTAACATTTATTATTTGAAGAAACTTGTCCCTTGATAGGAATTGATAAAGACTGAGGGCCAGTCCAAAGAGATGTATAGTTATGGAAATATCATATTTTTCTTTCTTAGGAGCGATGAAGTCGAGGTGGCAGAGAAAAGCAGTATTAGCACTGCTAGTTCTTGGCCTGCTGTTACCTTTTGGTATTAAAGCAGATGACGACGACGATGAAGAAGCTGTTGTTACAGAAGAGCAAACAGTAAGTTATTGATATCATGAACAATTGTGGCTTTAAGAGCAATATGCAGAATAAAAAAAAATGGATTTCTAAATCTATTGATATTATATAATATATGGTGATTTATGGGTAGAGATTATGATTTCAGACAGTGGATAACCTACTTCTGTGCTTTTATTGGTTAGCAGGGTCTTCAAAAATCAATAAACATATGTAGTGGATTCTGGGCCTTGGGGGGACCCTCTAACTTGGAATATGTGAGCTTTCCTTGGATGATGACAAGGATTCCACTAGCAGAATGTACATTGAGATTTAACCTTCTGAAGGAACTTCAGCATTGGTGTACTCGGACAAAATCAGATCAAAACATATTTTTGTAATAAGCAGTACAAAAGAATGGTCGAGTACAAAGTCAGGATGGGACCTGGACACAGCTTGTGGGCTTCAAGGGCTTCTTCCTGCTAAGCCGTGCGGAAGTAAGGGAAGAAGCAAACCTAATGCATTGATCCATATATAGTGGAAACGCCTCATTCTAGGTTCCTGTAGATTATTATTATTAAAGGTGCTCATTGGGATAGGTTATACTTTTAGATTTAGATTTTTATGACATAATCAGTATAGAATAGAAATGATTTCATGGTTCTTGTAGGAAATTAGTATTAAAGCTAATGGGATAAATCTGTACATTTGGATTTTTACCAGTGTTCATATAGAAGACTTCATCTGTGAGCAGCAGTATATATATATATATATATATATATATATATATATATATATATATATATATATATATATATATATATATATATATATATATATATATATATATATATATATATATATATATATATATATATATATATATATATATATATATATATATATATATATATATATATATATATATATATATATATATATATATATATATATATATATATATATATATATATATATATATATATATATATATATATATATATATATATATATATATATATATATATATATATATATATATATATATATATATATATATATATATATATATATATATATATATATATATATATATATATATATATATATATATATATATATATATATATATATATATATATATATATATATATATATATATATATATATATATATATATATATATATATATATATATATATATATATATATATATATATATATATATATATATATATATATATATATATATATATATATATATATATATATATATATATATTTAAGTTTGATGAAAATTTAGAGAGTTGAATTCAGAGGTGTCTGTAAATTGATCTGATGATTTTATTTCTTTATGCTGTTAGAATACATTTTCATTAAAAGCCATGCAGTAAAAACTTTTTATGTTTGCCTAGAAATGATGCAGCTCTATGCCTTTGCAAGTCTGGCAAGGTATTTCGTCATCCTAGCAACCTAACAAATGCTAAAATGACTACAGTACAGTGTTGCCAAACCAGGGAAAATTTATATATTTGCTCAGGGGTAGTGCATTCTAATAATTCATGTTTTAACTATATATTTTTTATACTTGATTTTAAATCCTATATCTTGCCCTTGCTGATATGATTCTGATGTTTCAAAAAAAAAAATTGAAGCCACTGGATAGTGTTATAATATCCTTTTACCTTTTTGTTTATCTTGGTCAGAAATATAGAATGCTTGTTAGGAATTATTTTGATCAGCTTGAAAAGTCATGAATATCAGGAATATCTCATCCAGTGTTGGATAATTTTTTTTTTTTTCTTATTCCTCGTCAGGAAGGAGACGAAGAAGATGTAGAGGAGGTTGTGTATGCAACACCCAAGCCACTACCAAATGCATATCTGACAGAAACATTTGATGACATAGCTACTTTTGAGAAGACATGGATCAAATCTGAAGCCAAGAAGGATGGTGTTGATGATAACATTGCTAAATATGATGGTCAGTGAAAACCTTAGTACATTTATTTCGTGTATAATTATTTCATTTTAGTAAGATAGTTTTGTGCCCTGCATAACCTGACTATATGGATTTAGCATGTTTATTGATATAAACCTTTTGTATTTTGTGTCATATATTCAGCTTATATAATGGAAATATGAATGATCTTTCTAAAAATCAGTATATTAAATACAAGCAAACTGTAATATAAATGAGTATTATATAGATACATTTTGGTGAGTCTTAAAAACATCCATAGGTATGCTAAATTATCCTGTGATTGTATTATATAATTACTTTTGAGTTCTTTGTAATTCATATTATGTTTTTACCTTAATTTGCAGGTGTTTGGGCAGTAGAACCTGCTGAGCGATTGGCCCTCACTGGGGATCGTGGGTTGGTTTTAAAGTCAAAGGCAAAACATGCAGCAATTGCAGCACCATTGAAGAAACCATTTGTATTCAGTAACAAGCCTTTTGTGGTTCAATATGAAGTTAATTTACAGAATGGTCAAGAATGTGGTGGAGCATATATCAAAGTAAGATCTTTTGGAAACTAGATATTTTTCTATTTCTTTGTGATTATAATTACATGTAATAGTCTAAAAGCATTGAAGTGCATTATTTGGTCTAACTAATTCTTTACAAATTTCAACAGCTTATCAGTGCCCAGAAAGGACGTGTGGATCTTAAAAATTTCCATGACAAAACACCGTACACTATTATGTTTGGACCAGACAAATGTGGCAATGACTTCAAGTTGCATTTCATCTTCAGGCATGTTAATCCTCTCACTGAAGAAATTGAAGAAAAGCATGCTAAGGTAAGTATTAATATTTATATTTGTCTCAGCAGTTTATATTGGTTTTCTTTGTGTGAAAATGCAAGTTCTATGCTCATTTTATTGACCATATATTATATAACAGCCTGGAAGTAGAACTTGAAATTCTGTATTCTGCATTTTGTAGAGACCACGTGACAAGATTGAGGAACCATTTAAGGATAAGAAGTCTCATCTGTACACATTAGTAATTCGACCAGACAACACCTTTGAAATTAGCCTGGATCATGAGGTAAGAAGGTGGAGATGTACCTTTTAAGCATATTTTTACTTTTGTTCTTAAATTTCATAGAAAACATTTGATAGCTCATTTATCAGGTCAATATTCAAGTAGGCTTTGGAAAAAGTATGGGTATGGCTATATGCATGGCGACGTGCTAGAGCATGTCAAGCGGGAAGTTCCACTACATGTAGTGGACTCCCGCTCCCAGCAGCTGGATTGTTACCACAAATCACCAGTCTATGATGCAGAGAGATTTATAACCATCACTAAGGGATTAAATGTGAAAAGGGTCTGATAGTGATGTCCTGTCAGGTCTTGGTAGACCACGCCTTATGCCTAAATGACATCTTCACTTCATGTACAGTCAAACCTAATCTAAGTTGTACATGCTAAATAGTTGTGTGCTTATTTGGGCCTGACTGTGATCATTGAGGAGAAATAAAAATAGGCTTAAAGACTCATCTTAGCCTTTTCAACTAAACTGTCATTAAAACCACAGCCAAGGGCAGAGAGAGTGGAGTACTTTGGTGTCCTGTTCTTCTGATTTTTCTCTCGAGTGGCTAACTCTTTGTGCATCTTGACACTTCTTTTAGGGTTCCTGTAATTAGTGGATTAAAGGAGGAAAGAAAGAAAGAAAAAAAAGTATCTAAGATGAATAGACTTTGGGGGGGATTGTTTCCAAGGTTTCTTTTCAGGTGAATGGAAAAAGACGGTTTTGAGTATCTACTTTGAATACAAGGAATCCAGAAAAAGGGAACAGTCTAGGAAAAATGTGATGTATTAAGAAATATAGGGATGGAAAATTAAGAATTAACGGTTAATAGAATATTTAAAAGTTTATTATCATAAAAAATCAAGAAAATGCTTTGGGGGATAAAGTTTGGGATGATATATTATAGAAAGAATCTCTAGACATATTTAGGTTTTGCTGTTGCTTTTGTGATAAGAAACTGATTTGTACAGATTAAAAGTTTAAAACAGATATAATTTTTTCAATGTAATATTAAAATTATACATAACACTGGATAGAATATATAAAGTACATTTTGATGTTGTAGTAAAGCAAAGTAGGAGGCAGTATCCTCAGTCATTTTAGAAATAGTACCTACCAAAATTGGGTGTATGGTGTATCCAATTTTGATGTCATCTCAAAGTTTGATTTTGACTTGCCAAATTAGTCATTTTGGTGGTTGTTTTTGTTACAGAAATTGGGGATATGCAGATAAGCAATTGTATAGCCATTACAAATATCCAGAATGTGCAAAATTCTAATAAATACTAAGCACATTTTTTGTTAAGTAGTTGAGTTACAGCCTTTATATTTTTTAATTCGCTCATTAGAAATTGTTTCTACCAAAGTTGCCCTATTTCGTAAGAAATTTACATAATACTAGGTTACATATAATAACTTGAATACCCATTTGTCAAATCATGGCAGGTAATCAATTCAGGAAGTCTTCTGGAGGACTTCACCCCATCTGTTAATCCTCCCAAAGAAATTGATGATCCTGAAGACTTTATGCCAGAAGACTGGGATGAAAGAGAAAAGATTCCAGATCCAGAAGCCACAAAGCCTGATGACTGGGATGAGGATGCTCCCATGCAGATCCCTGATCCAGTGGCTGAGAAACCCAGTGGATGGCTGGATGATGAGCCAGAAATGGTGCCAGATCCCACTGCTGAGAAACCTGATGACTGGTTAGTACACAGTAATCTTATTTAAAATGTGAAAGTTAAGAGAAAAATGTTGAGTTTAAGTGTAGCTGTTGATTAATGGGTAATTAAGCTTTGTTGTTTTTTAAAAATCCATTATAGTGTTTTCTTAATAAAAAGATGTCTGCAGTTTTGAAAAGGCTCACTATAATAAGTTTGTGTATTATTGCATATATATATGTAAAGTGTTTATGTATTTCATGAATTTCCTTATTTCATCCAGGGATGATGAAATGGATGGTGAATGGGAAGCTCCTCTGATCACCAATCCCAAGTGTGTTGATGCACCAGGCTGTGGAGAGTGGAAGCCTCCCATGGTGGACAATCCTGAGTTCAAGGGCAAATGGCGTCCACCTATGATTGACAATCCTAATTACCGTGGAAAATGGAAGCCGCGAAAGATCGCCAACCCTGACTTCTTTGAAGACCTGGAACCTTTCAAGATGACTGCTATTGTAAGTAATTACATATCTTAACAATCACTAAATTGAATTGTTTAAGCATTTTCTGTCTTATTTCTGATATTGGATTTTCTCTGCTTTATTGTCAGGGGAATGAAAGATGGTACTTTTTTCAGGTTTGGTTATGTAAAATTAATATAAATGTAAGTGGAATAAAATTAAGCTTTGTTTGTACTGATAAAGTGTTTTCTTCTACAGGATGCTGTTGGTCTGGAATTGTGGTCAATGTCAGACAATATCCTCTTTGACAACATTCTTGTCACGGACAATGTTGCTGAGGCTTACCAGTTTGCTCAAGAAACCTTTGACTTGAAGGTCATGAAGATAGAGAAGGGACAGGTATGTTGTGTGCAAGGGATACCTGGCCAACTCATATATTTATTTGTGAAATTATTTTTCTTTACAGAGATCAGAGATTGAAATGTGAAGGCTGTTTTTTTTTCTTTCTATATGTTCTTTTTTACAGGCCATTGATATATTCCCTCTTCTAAATGTATTTCAGGTAACAAGAGCTGGTAATCAGTCATCTTTACCTTTTTTTTTTTTCCATTATGAGTGAATGATTTTCTATTTTTCCATTCTTTCTGCTGATATACTTATGATTAAAATAGGTTTTAGTTATTAAAAGATTTTCCCTCTTTGTGGCCAGTGGGGATATACATTCAAGCGCTGGGGTCGCTGGATGAACTCTACTCCATGGTTCTGGCCTGCATATGGTCTTTACTGTGCCTCCCCAATTCTAGCTTTCTTTGTATTTTTGATATGGTGGGTCCAGCAACCTCAGGAGACAGAGGAGGTTAGAGAAAGAATAAAATTAATTGAAAATATTTAAATCCCTCGAAGCACCTGTTTAACTTGGTGGCCTGCCAATAAGGATCACCTAGTAAACAAAAATTTATGCACATTTTGTTCCTAATGTCTGCACATGCATCACCTGTATCTAGTTTATTTTGAAGTTAACCTTATAATTTACATTTGTTATAATAACATTCTACCCAGCTGTTTGTAAGGAAAATTGCATTGCTTCCCTTGTGTCATGAAATGAGAGGATTTGCTTTATATTAAGGGGATAACCCTTGTGACCTTACCTAATTTCACCTTTCCTTGAGTTGGCGGGCAAAACTTTTTTTAACTAATACTATGAATATCGATGGTGTTATATTTATTATAGTCATAATAATGACTAATGTTATTGACAAAAGTAACTGCAATATAAGATAACCTTAAACATTTTCGAAAATCAATGAAAAGGATGAACAGGTCAGACAGGTATTACTTGTAATTGGCTCATTTTGATGACTTAGTGTTTGTGGAGCCATCTATGTGTAAGAACAATTAATAAAATAAACTCTCAGTGGGCATGGCATGTACGTACATGCCATGCCCATTGATTTTGGGTTAATAAAACAAAATGTATTGCACTAATTTCACTTACTTTTTTCATAGCAAACTTTTTGGGGGAAAATCTTGAAGCTAACCAATTACAAGCCTGTAATGTGGGCACTCTACGTACTTTATATGATTATTCCAACTGGATTAATTGTCTTTTGTCTGCTGAAGAGAGTATATGAGGTATTTTTCTTTTAAAATATTTTGCTAGATAAGCAACAGGATTACATAAGGGCTAGTGCAAGAAACTGTTTGCTAGGGTGAGGAAATGAATACTGCTAGTTCAGGTTATGCAACAAACATTTGTGTATGAGTAATTATATGAAAATTAGAGGTTGGTTATTAGTAAGAGTTGATTGTTGCCTTATAGTGTTACCCTATGTAAAATATATATAATATATATATATATATATATATATATATATATATATATATATATATATATATATATATATATATATATATATATATATATATATATATATATATATATATATATATATATATATATATATAATTTTGTTTTTTATCTTACACTATAATGTGTATGTGTACCAAAGGCTTTTTGACACATACCTTCTAGATACAGATTATTTGGCATTCTTTAAAGTGCTTTAATCCAAGTTCCCAATGTATTTACCTTGCTTTAGAGCAATAGCATCCTTCAACTGTATCTGTTGTATTCTTTATTGTAGACTGGTGTTATTCGTCGAATCATCAACTACTCCAATAAGAATCCATGGCTATATGGTATCTACGTACTCCTAGTGGCCATTCCTGTAGTGTTGATATTTGCCTGCTGTTGTGCAGAGGCAAAGGTAGAGTATAGTAATAGCTGTCAAATGTAATGCTTACTTTGCTTTTGAGTGTAAAAACTAAAAGATTTTGCATTAAAAATTGTTACATGACAAGTCCTTACTATCACACATCTTCATGTCTTTGAAAATTGTGCTATATTATTAGAACTTCAAAAATATATTTTTTTGTGTTTGTTAATTGTTTTGGATATCTCAGGACACCAAGGAAGATAAGGATGCAGAAAGGAAAAAGACCGATGCACCTTCTCCTGATGATCCACAATCAGAACAACAAAAAGAAGATTCTAGTCAAACTGCAGCAGATGATGATGCTCCTGGAAGTGGGGATGAAGCTGAAGGGGATGAAGACAAAGGTGATGAAGAGGGAGAGGATGAGGAAGATGAGGAAGAGGAAGAGGAAGCAGAGAAAGCTGATGCAGCTGAGGTACTGAGAACCTAAATTTTTAAAAAAGTATTTTCGTGTGTTGCTCTACCTTACATAAATGCTTGAATCTGCATTTCTCCATCAAATTGTCTTTACAAGTTTGTACCATTATCAGATTTTTAAAACTGTTTTGTGTTTCATTTCAATGCTGATTTCCTAATTGTATATTCTTTGAATACCACATACTATTCATATTTGTCTAGGGTTGCTTACTTTTAGATATGGTAATAACATAACTGGTACTGCATATCCAAGTAAAGAGTACATTTATTTTCCATTTTTTTGTGGTTTTACCAAGTAATGTATATTATGTTTTTTTCAAAAATATGATCCATAGGTGTATACCAATGTTTCAGTGGTGTGTCAAGTACAAGAAATTTTTTGTCTTTTCTAATATTAATATTTCCTTTCAAGGAGGTCCAGACTCGCACATCACCAAGGCTGCGCAAGTCCCGGAGAGATTAAATGGCTGTGGATGATGTACACTACAACTTTGGAGCAAGGAGAGGTGCAACATGTACCTGTTGGAAGGAAGATATTTTTTGATTGGATTTTTATATGAGGCCTTAACAATATCTATTAGTACAGTATAAGCATTTTATGCAAGATATCTCAGTCATATAATGTAGTGACAGATGTGGGTAATATGTTCCATTTTTGTTTCATAAATAGAATATTTTTGTCTTGTTCTAATACAGAGAAGAGTTATGGATCCTGTATTTTGCTCTGATTACAGTAAGCTTGTTATATTTTACATTGTAGTACCTAGTCATGTTAGGCTCAGACTATTTGAGAACAAAAATGTATTGTACAATGTCAGTAGGTATTTCTGTTAGCTCTTTCAATTTTTAGGAAATGCTGTGATAGTCTGAAGCTTCTTACTTCATCTCAGATACATTCCTTTGGTTCTTGATCTGTGCCAGGTTATTGTATAGAAACATGAACAGAGCAGGAAGAAATGTTCTTTTCTTTTTGTTGTTGGATATAAAATTAATATCATAGATGTATGATGACATTTTGTAGTTCACTGTAAAGATGTGTTTTCAGTTGACCTGTGAGTTTTGGCCACACTTCATTTGTACAACTTAGTCTTATTGGAAAGAACCAATTTGTTATAACTGTTAAATTGTGTTTCACAGTTATTTAACCTGTATCTGCCAGGCCACACCTGTAGCCGTCATAACAAACTGACTCAATGTACCGGGTACGGCTACAGGTGTCACGACAAGTTCCACTACACATAGTGGACTCCTGGCCCATATGGCAGGACGGGCCAGAAACCTCCGGAGTCAATGACACCACGAGATTTCTGATACCATCATTTAGGGGTTAAAAGCTTATTCCTATGTATGATTTCTTGTAACCATGTATGTTTTCATGGTAGTATGGATACATATATTTGTGTATGTTGTATAGATTTCTTTTTTTGTTATTATTTGTCTCAGAATTGTATATTTGCACTTAGTCATACCTATATTTTCATCAGTTTGATAAAAATATATAACCAAAAAGTTATCTCCCTTATATGGTAAGCCTGAAGGGAAAGTTTTCATGTAGTAGGGATTTTGATGGCCTAAGAATTTATACTCCTATACATGAACTGTTGATAGGACAGAAACTTGGAAGATATTTATAAAACAATATTGAGAACTTAGCTGTAGTGCAACAATGGAATATTTTGCTCTTTGCAAATATTTTATTTTCTCACAGGTAATGATATCTAGGCCACTTCTGTGCAGTTGTTGAGAATTGGACAGTGAGTAAATAAGTACATATAACATAACCCTAAAAAAGACCTTAAGACCTAATGTTGTCAACATTAACTGAGTTGTATTGTAGTTGTAAAGAATATACTAGCATGTTCATATGTATGAATGACAGTAAGTTACTTTCTATGGCAGGTTTTCCTATGTTACTAAAGTCATGTTCTTTATTATTTTTTAAGTATGCTTCTTGTGATTTCTTTTGCTTGAGCATCTGATTGATGAAAATTGTTATTTAAAACTGATATACAAACAGGTATTTCATTATTATTATTTTTTTTTTTCCATTATTATTTTTTTTTTGCATTGTTTAAAATTTTATTCCTGCCTGTATGTTGTACAGATGCTTTTACAATAAACATTTACAAGAATTTACCTTAGTGTTTAAATTGGTTATAAAATTTCTGATATTCTTTGTTTCACTGCTAGTTCCCATGGAACCTTTTCTCACCCATTCAAGCCAGGATGATATCCTCTTCTTCGCATTGATTTAGCTGTAACCATGAGTTTACAGTTAATGTCGCATTTCCTGTGCTTATTTTCCCTTTGAGCAGCTGCCTCAATCCCTTGCCTGTTGTCATGGGGGGGGGCTCAGGAGGTGGAGACTGAGACCCAATGCTGGTCCCTGCCTTGGGACTCAGCCCTCGACTCACCTAATTTTGCATGGTCTTTTTCCCCTCCCACTTTTTTATTTCTGTCTCTTCTCCAACCCCTTCTACTATCCACTTCCTAAGGTGTGAGAGCCATGCTGCCTGAACAGCCTGAGGGAGCCATGGGCATGGTATTCCTGTTTTAGTTGTCTAGCTCTTACCCCTCAAGGGGACCCTAAGGGGTGGATGGTTTCTCTACCCAAAATACTCCAGGCTTACCATGGCCACTTATAAAGATGTTATACCATTATTAGGGGCAATGAGGCTTACCTCTTCATCAAATAGCCTCACCAATTCAAACTCCTGATTCCCCGACCCCAGACTCTCCTTTGACAACAGCTCCAAACACTGCAACTACTAGCCCCTCCTCAATGCCTACTAGTACATTATCCACTTAAGTCAACACTCAATGCCCAGGAGACATTTCTACTCTCCCAACATGATCATTTTCATCACCTCTACCCCCACAACCTTCCTCATTAACTTCCCCGTCCTCTCTTATTACTACTTTACAGCCTTATTGTCTACCTCTCCATAATACTACCTCCCTCAACACCGCAACTTCTTCCACACACCCATACTTCTACTACCCCCTCAATACTTACACTGGAACTGTTTCTATCTCCCCAGCAAACTGCCCTATCTATAACAAAAATTGGTCAGATTGTGAAGACTTACTTGCCTATCTCACAGACTATGATGTGCTATCAGTACAGTGCTACTCCATTCCTCCCAGAGGAACCCCACCAACATTACCAAAATTACTTTCCATAGACAAGACCTTCCCTTTAATATTTACATTGGTGGAAAATCCCTACCTGTCTGACCATATCATGCTCCTCCCCATCAGTGCCAAAATTGTTGGCACTTAGGACATCCTGACAAACATTGCCATTTCACAGCCAGATGCCCTCTGTACCCAACCTGGTCATACTCAATCAAACTGCTCTGCACAGTCACGCACATGTGCCAACTGTGGCAGCCCCCATAATGTATTTTATAGGGGTTGCCCCACCTACAAAGTTGAGTCTGAGGTGGCAACTTTCAGATTCAGACTTGGACTCATTCTATGTAAAGCCAGACAGGAAGCACATCGACAAGGTTTTTCTCTTACTACCCAGTAATGTCACTCGCTCTGCTCCCTCCCCCTACATCCTTCCCTAAATCTATCCCTCCTCCATCTTACTTCCCCTCTTCTACCTCATATCATACCCAGTCAAATTTTTTTGCCATCCTTAATCCAGACACTCCAATCTCTTCTACACCCCCAACACCTACCCCTCTCAGACAGACTAAATGTTCCACCCCTTCTCCTACCACACACTCACCTCCACCTACCTTTGCCTCTACTCCTCCGACACGAGTATCCTCTTCCCCCCCCTCATAAGAAAACCTTTGTCTCACAAAACTCACCAACCAACTCCATTACAGAAGCTCTTGAAGATATTCAAAACTATCTACTCAAGTCCCAAACTGACACTGAAACCCCTCATCCACCTTCAGAACTCCCACTCCCCCTACATTCAAAGTGTTGGAGGATCGGGAGCCCATCCCCCCAGCTCCAGCTCCACCTACATTAACCCTCCCGCCATCCCCTCTATCCCTTCCACTCCCTCCTGGTTACACACTTGAATCCCTTATGTCATAACTAACCCCTTCCCCAAATCCTCCACCTCCTGATACAACACCACCTCCCCCCTCTCATTCCTTATCTCACCCCTAGTTCCTTCCCCTTCAAATTGTCCAACACCCACTGTTACAATTATCACTGATAAATCAACTAAAGTATAACTATCCTTCATTGGAATATTCGCGGTTTCCATTCTCACAGATCCGACATTCATCATATCCTTTCCTCTTATAACCCATCCATTATATGCCTTCAAGAGACATTTCTTACACATCTTCCTATACCAATTCCCAATTACCATTTTGTCTTGTCCTTACACTCCATTTATGTCACGTCTATACTTATCAGAAAACACCTGATGTTATACCTCCCTTTCAGACCACTGTCCCTTGCACAGTTATTCACATCTTCCTTTGCCGCTGGGTCACAGTGATTTCAGTCTACTTCTCTCCTTCCCACCCCATTGACTTTGTTGCCTTTGAAAATCTAATTTCCCAACTCCAACCACCTTTCCTTATAGTTGGTGATTATAACTGTCACCACACTGCCTTTGTGGTGATTCTATCACCAACTCCCATGGCCAATCCCTAGAGCGCTTCCTCTCCACAGCTGACCTTATTATTTATAATTCAGATCACCCCATACACTTTGATATATGCATGCAATCTTTTTCATGCATTGACCTCTCCCTATGTTTCCCTCCTCTATTTAGATTTCTATTGGTTAGTTCTAGACCACATTCCAATTATCCTTTCTCCTACTTCATTTGTACCACTTCTTAGCTCCCCACACTGGTGCTTTGATAGAACCAACAGGTGTACTTTAAACTTCACTCTCTGCTAGTTTCTACCCCTCCATCCTTCTCGTCCATTTCAGATATGATACAATGATACAATTTCAGATATGATACAACTTCAGTCCTAAGAGCTGCCCATACAGCTATTCCTCGAACCTCATGACCCTGTACCTCCAAATGTGTTCTATGGTGGAATTCTGCTTGCGCTAAAGTGTTTTGCTTAAAACATGCAGCCTGGAACAGTTATTACTATAAACAAGGCACCCCTAATCAACTATCAGCCCTTCTCTCCTCCAAAAGAGCATCCGCCTGTCTTCGTTGCACAATCTGGAACAGTAAAACAAATAGCTGACGAAATTATGTTTCTTCAATTACATCTACATCTATCTTAACTATCAGGCAAATATCTCCCCATCCAGCCCCTTTCCTCCATATCGAGATACTCTCATCTCTGATCCACTCCAAGTTGCTAATGAATTGGGTGACTATTTCAGCCTGGTCAGTAGTGGTTCTCACCTTTCTCAACACTTCTCTTCTATTGAGACCATCAGGAAATGCACCCCCATTATCTTCACCCTATCCTCCACTGAATCCCAAAATGCTCTTTTTTCTTCCTCTGAACTCAATGCTGCCTTACAGTTGTGCCGCAACAATCATAAAGGCCCTGATGGTATTTACAACTCCCATCTTCCTCTCTATCCTTCCTATTAACAATCTTTAACCACATGTGGACATCAGGAAATTTTCCTTCTCATTGGCGAGAAGCTCTTATCCTCCCCTTCTGAAACCCAATAAATCGGGTACCTTCCCTCAAGACCATCGCCCCATCGCTTGTGCAAACTACTAGAGTGAATGATTAACTTCTGCTTAATGTGCTTTCTTGAATCTCACAGTCCTCTTTCTCCTTCCCAGTTTGGTTTCCACTGTGCCTGAAGCACAGGTGACCCACTTGCTCATTTTGAGACATATATTACATCTGCATTTGCACTCCATGCATCTGTACTAGCTATATTCTTTGACCTAGAAAAAGCATATGATACTAGATGGCGGTAATATATTGTCCATCAATTGTCCTCTCTAGGCATATGCAGAAACATGGGTGTCTTTATAAAGTCTTTCCTTTCCAAATGAACTTTCCAGGTCAAAATTGCCTCTTCCACATCATCCTTCTTTCCTCAATTCGAAGGGCGTCCCACAAGGCAGTGTGCTCAGTACTACTTTATTCCTTCTTGCTGTTAATGACACTGTCTAAGCTTTACTACCAAGAGCCCGGTCATCACTGTATATTCATGATTTAACCATCTACACATCTGGCACATCCATACCAAATCTCCGCCAATTCCTCCAGACTGCAATATCATCAGTATCTTCCTGGGCCACTAACCATGGCTTCCACTTTTCTACCTTCAAATCTTTCTCCATCCTTTTCTCTCGTGCATGTGTTGGTCCCCTACCTCCACTCTTCTTATATGACACTCCACTCCAATACCGTTCCTCTGGCAAATTCCTAGGCATTATCTTTTACTCCAATCTGTCCTGCCAAGACTATATCCTTTACATTAAAGAAAAAACTTGCCGCCGTCTCAGAATCTTACAAACTCTATCCCATATATCCTGGGGCTCAGATCACAAAACTCTACTTCATCTTCATGTTACCTTGATCCTCTCCAATCTTGATTATGGATGCCATATCTACTCCTCTGCCTCAACCTCTCTCCTTGCCCATCTTGATACAATCCACCACTGTGGTCTTCACTTAGCCCTAGGTGCCTTCCATTCCTCTCTGGTTGAGAGCCTGTACACTGAATCGGGCATACCATCTCGACGCCGTAACCTTCTCTTTCCCCGATGCTATGCACAATTCCACCAACTTCTTCTCACTAAACTATCCCATAATCCGACCTCTGCCGTTCTCTGTCCATTCTGTCCCCTACCCCTGTATTTGCTCCTGTTTTCCTTGACCCATCAAAATCAAATATTGCCCCTGCTGTCTTCACCCACTTCCTTGACCATGTCTCCATCCATTTCTCCAGTATTCATATTTACACTGATGGCTCCAAATCCACCTCCGGTGCTGGTTTCGCTGTAACCTTCCCAACTCACACTTTCAAATAACCCCTGCCTCCTGAATCCAGTGTCCTTACTACAGAACTATATGCACTCTATTTTGCCTTACAACACATATACTCACTCCCTTCTTCTTCTTTCACACTTTTTACTGACTCCTGTAACTCATTAACTCTCATAAAGTCAGTACACTCGAACAACCCCTTTGTTTGTAAGATCCAGAACTGGTAGTTCTATCTGTCCACACGACATCAGATTCAATCAGATTTTGCTGGGTGCCTAGCCATGTTGGATTCCCTGGCAATGAACAGGCGGATACTCTAGCACACTATGCTGCTAAGTCCACACCAACCATGTTACTCACTTATCCCAGCCATGGATTATTACCCCCACTTTGAGAACTGATGGCAATTTTTCTGGTTAAGTCTCTGCATTAATAAATTACATACTGTAAAACAATCAATCTCCTGGTCAGCTCCATTTTATCGGAACAGACGTTGGGAGATGGCTCCTGCTTACGCACTCCTATCTGATGTCACACTCTGATCCACCCCTATGTTCCTTATGTAATGTCCCTCTTTCAGTTCCACACATTCTATTGTCATGCCCATGCTTTGATGCAGCCCATCCCTCTGCTTTCCCCCACCTATCCTCCCTTCACTGACCTCCCAACCTATCAGACATCTTTACAGAATCTCACACTTTCTGCTTTGACAACCTGTTTTGCTTCCTCAGACACATACATATTCTTCACTTAATCTAACCCCTTTACCTTACCCGACCTTAACCTATTAACTCATCAATTCCTTTGCCCAGCTATAGCAACTAATCACTAATGCAACCACCCCTCACTACCATCTACAATAGTGCTATATGACCTTAGATGTCTAGCACATTTATTTTGCTTTTAACCATTAACCTTGAGCAACTGACTCCACATGCACTCTTGATATGTTCAGTATGGCACTGAACAACAGTAAGGCTCATTGTGATTGGGTGAAACTTGTTAATAATTACTGGAACATCAAAAACAAGTTTTGGAAAACTAATGCAAAAATGGTCAGGGTAGCTAGAAATTGTTAAGAAACTATGAAAATATGATCACTAGTGAAAGGGACTAATATTATTGCATTTGTATATATAACAAAGTAATTATTAACCCATTGCCGCTGGGGAAAATTAATAAAAAATGGGGAAAATGCTGTGCTCATTTTTTATAATTTTATGTGAAATGTCTCTACACATAGATGGCTCTGCCTTACCAAATTTCACCTTTCCTTGAATTGGCGGGAAAATGTATTTTCTACTAGTGCTATGAATATTGATGGTATTACTATACTTAACCATAATGCTGTGTAACCTTTGGTGCCTCATACATTTGTTTATTTTGACCATTGACCATTCTGGAAATCCAAAAACATTGCCTTACTTGAACCAAAAAACTTTACCTGGGGGCTTTAAGTCAGAAAATTTTTAATAAATAAATATAGGATGAAATGGTAGTGAAACTGGTAGAGAGGGGGGAGCAAACTGAGTATGGCAGGTATTTGTAAAAAGGGAAGGGGTTACGTGTACAGGGCAGTGATCCAAGTTAGAGTGGTAATACCAGGAGCCAGAAATCCTCAATCTGTCGGACCTAGCAAAATCCCAGTGAAGGAGGATATTCTCACTGCTTCTGAGCCATGTGGACCAACAGACACCTCATAGCCAGCTTGATCATATCATTTGTGAATTGACATGAATACTTGGACTTCAATCTTGCATAGTTCTATTTGTAATCAAAGATGCTTGGAACTCTCTATATTACTTGGATGGATTATCTATAATTATGTATGCTATCAAAATTATACATTATGGTCATTTCCCTATTTTCAGTAAAATTTATTTGAGGCCAGAGGAAGCTCACAAAGGCTACCAGACATGACTAGTGATGCCTCCAGGGGAATTTGGGATGTGCTTGGCCTCTGTTCTGAGGAGTATTTGCTTTCATGCTGGGCCTGCCTCCTGCACCTATTTCAGACTTGGCCAGTGCAGCCGAGGCAATCTGAGACAATCTGAGTAGTTGACATGAGACTGATTATGTAACTAGAGTAAGGGTTACTTACAGGTTCACGGCAACAGCAAGAGAGTACAAATTACTGATTTGTGACATCCATAGATAGTAGACACATTACTTATGTACTTTATAAAGAATAGCATAATGTGTAATGCATGCATCATAATAACAAGACATGAATAACCCATTCTCCATATTGACAACCAAGTCATCCATGACAGGAACTACATACCATCCAGAGGCGGTGGGTTAATGTTAACCCATTACCGCTGGGGAAAATGAACAAAAAATGGGGGAAAAACTGTACTCATTTTTTAATATTTTTGTGAAATATCTCTGTCCATAGATGGCTCTGCTAGTCCTGATTTCACCTTTCCTTAAATTGGCGGACAAAAAACGTATTCTTACTAGTGCTATAAATATAGATGGTGTTATTTTTAACAGCAAATTAGGATAACATTAAATATTTTCGTAAATCAATGAAAAGGGTGAACGGGCGAGACAGGCAGTTCTCGTAATCGGCTCATTGGATACTAAGTACAAGTGCAGCCATCTATGTGTAAAAACAATCAAACAAGTCGACTCACAGTGGGCATGGCATGTACGTACATGCCATCCTCGGCGGCAATGGGTTAATAACAATGATTCTCAAGATAGGTAGTGTCATGGATACTTTCCCCCCCAAAAAAAATATTAACTCCATTGATGAGTTAAAAGTCAGAGTAACAAAAGTCATGAGATACTCCAACAAAGCATATACTGGCATTTACTTCTTAAATGAAGACCCTGATTATTGTCTGGTAAATTGGCTTAAGCTCTTGCACAGGCACTGGTCTGCCTGTGGGGATATGCAAGAAGTTCAATAGTGGGTAAACTTGCTTTCTTGTGCACATGGATACAGCTCATTCATGTCCCAGAAAATGATTTTTACCTGTATTTTGAGCACCTCACATTTACTAGTTTTATAACAAATAAAAACGATTCAGTCTATGCACTATGCACTTACATAATACTGGCTTACAATTTTACATGACACAGTAATTTTTGATGGAATAATTACTTTGTAATAAATCCTAATACTAATACTGTTCACATATCCAAATAAAATGCAAAAGGCTTTCAGTGCCTTATTAATTTTATATCATGTTTTAACAAAATTCCTAATACACCATATACTGTAATTTAAAATTCCATTTGATAGTACATAACCACAAGTTGACATCATCATCCATTATTTTAACTTTTAATTAATTAATTAATTAATTTATTTTTTAATCTGTATCAAGAAATAATCCAATTTCTAAAGAATTTTTTTTTTTAAACATTGCTGAAGCTACATTTCCTCCTGTACAAGGATGTTCATGCTTATTAATACTGATTTCTCATTTAGCTGTAGTGGAGCAGATGATGGGGATGAGTGTTTGTTGATTGAGGGGGTCACTAGGATTTATTAACCCATTGCCGCCGGGGATGACATGTACATTACATGCCATGCCCACTGTGAGTCGACTTGTTTGATTGTTTATACACATAGATGGCTATACTTGTACTAAGTCACCAATGAACCAATTACAGTACTACCTGTCTTGCCCGTTCACCCTTTTCAACGATTTACGAAAATATTTAACATCATCCTAATTTGCTGTTAAAAATAACACCATCTATATTCATAGCACTAGTAAGAATACGTTTTTTCCCGCCAACTCAAGGAAAGGTGAAATCAGGACTAGCAGAGCCATCTATGGACAGAGATATTTCATAAAAATATAAAAAATGAGTACAGCATTTTCCCCATTTTTTGTTCATTTTCCCCGACGGCAATGGGTTAATTATTATTATTATTATCTATTATTATTATTTTTTTGCCTGGTCTAGTTTTTTTAATATGATATACAACTACTCTGATTGCACACAGTCAGTCAATATTTCTGATTAGGCTTGCATGATCCCCATAACCTTGCCATCTGATATGACAGAAATAGAGCAATAGGTCTTGATGTAAAGGTTAATGATAAGACACTTGTACAAAATGAATAGGTATTTTTACTTCAACTCCATGAAAAATAAAATAACTATAAAGAAGAATTTTTGATAAAGTAAACTGAAAACTTATACATGAAAATAGAAAATATATACATACATACATATCAGCATACTTCACCTTTCTTCTTTTATCTTGCTATATGATTATATAATTCTGAAGTACCTGAGATTTTGACGATCGTTTTATTATTTTTATCATAGCTTTTTATTCCTTGAGAATATTCTTCAGGATTACTTCAGCTACAAATGCTTCACCGCTGAGAAAAGTGTTCATTCTTCTTATGAGGAAGTGAAGCCTTTGAATGGCTTTTGGAAGCTGGTGACTGTGAAGCTGAGGTCACCATATTGTAAGAAAAGGAGGTTCCTGGCTTGGCACTTTGTGGTCGCTGGACTGAAAAGATATGAATTTTTTTTCTTTTACATTTTTTCCCCTTTTATTATGACCTGAAAAAGCATTTGTTAAAAATCTTATAAATTCTGCCACATTTTTCTGGTTAATTAAGAAACTTGTAGGCATAATCCATCAAGTATGCTCTACCATGATTTCCTGTTTCAGGTTAGCCGAGAGCTTTCAACCAAAAAATATGAAGTATGATTCTGCTCATTACATTTTTTCCTATAGGTATTTACCTAGCTATCTATCAAAGCAGAATGACAATAAATGTCTCATATCAATGTGAATTCCTTTAAAGGGACATAAATATTATGGAAGAAAAAGAAAGAAAAAATATACTCCAGGAAGTATCCCTAAAAATCTAGAGAAAGAAAAATAGTAGTAGTAATTTACAGAAAATGGTATTAAAGAATTTCTTTTACTCTACATGCACACCATTTTCATTGAGTGGAAACTAATTAATAATTAAATTAAAGGTATAAACTATATATTTTTTTTTACAGTAATCAATTTCTTCAAGATTTAGAAAAGTGTTTTAAAGGATTTTTGTGTGCATTATTTTGCAGGTGTTTGCAGCTTCCATCCTCCTTCCAGACTTAGGAAACCACAGATTCTCAACTCTTCTCAAACTTTAGAATAGAATCAAAACTATGTGCAAATGGTCTCCAACAATTAAAAAGTCATAAACTTTATGAACCTCCAAATAATTTGCAATATCTCAACTGAGGACAGTGTAACAGCCAATATTAACCCAATGTTAATGTGTTTATGTACCTTCCCCTATAGATTTTAGTGAGTTTTGTTACATACAGATGGCTCCACGTGTGTTCAGCCAGCAAGGAGTCAATCAGTTGGCCCTAGTGACCGATCCAGATTTACTCATTCCTTGAATTGGTGGGAAAATGTGTATTACTTTCCAATACTATTAATATTGATATTATTATCATTCTTACTGATACTGTGATTATTAAATTATAAGACAATATTAATAAGACAATAAAATAATAGAAATTAAGCTTTGAAGAAATGAAGCAAAAGTGTAAACAGATGAGACAGGTAAAACTAATAGCTGACTTCTTGGTAACTGAACATTGGTACAGCCATCTATGTGTAAAGACAATAGATAAACTTTTATTACAGGGGGCATGGCATTGCAATCTTGTCACCTGCTGACCTGCTGAGTTAAAAAAAAGTCTTTGAGAAATTCAAAAAAAGGTTGAGCAAGCTTAGAAGAGATTCTTCAAAGCTTGAATGAAATATATTTTCTATTTCTTATATATATTTTTTTCTGACTCACCTTTAGCTATGAAATATATTAAAAACTATATAAAAATGGTTTCAAATAATGTAAAATATTGTAAAATAAATAAATATACCTTAATATTTTGTAATATATATATATATATATATATATATATATATATATATATATATATATATATATATATATATATATATATATATATTATATATTATATATTATATATTATATATTATATATTATATATTATATATTATATATTATATATTATATATTATATATTATATATTATATATTACATATTACATATTACATATTACATATTACATATTACATATTACATATTACATATTACATATTATATATATTATATATTATATATTATATATTATATATTATATATTATATATTATATATTATATATTATATATTATATATTATATATTACATATATTATATATTATATATTATATATTACATATTATATATATATATATATATATATTATATATATTATATATATTATATATATTATATATATTATATATATTATATATATTATATATATTATATATATTATATATATTATATATATTATATATATTATATATATTATATATATTATATATTATATATTATATATTATATATTATATATTATATATTATATATTATATATTATATATTATATATTATATATTATATATTATATATTATATATTACATATTACATATTACATATTATATATTATATATTATATATTACATATTACATATTACATATTACATATTATATATATACATATTACATATTATATATTACATATTACATATTATATATATATATATATATATATATATATATATATATATATATATATATATATATATATATATATATATATATATATTATATATATATATATATATATTATATATATATATATATTATATATATATATATATATTATATATATATATATATTATATATATATATATATATATATTATATATATATATATATATATTATATATATATATATATATTATATATATATATATATATTATATATATATATATATATTATATATATATATATATATATTACATATATATATATATATATATATATATATATATATATATATATATATATATATATATATATATATATATATATATATATATATATATATATATATATATATATATATATATATATATATATATATATATATATATATATATATAAATATATATGTATATATACATGGGGGGGGCTGACTTCAGTAAGGGTAATCTACTCCAAGAAATTTGTGGGAGAGCTTAGTAATCTTAGTAATCAATCTGGAAAAGAAGAAGAAGAAGAAGAAGAAGAAGAAGAAGAAGAAACAAAGAAAGAAAAGAAAAAGGGCTACCTTTCAACTTGTTTTGTCTCACAATCATCTAAATGCACTAGAATACATCAAATCCTACAGTGATTAGCCAGAACAGGACCTACTTCACATAATCAGCAATATTCATAGATTCGAACAGCAAAAGCAAGTAAAGGAATTCCTCTTCTCTCACCTTTTATGGTTAGTGATGCTAATTTCTCCTTCCACTTCTGCTCTGCTTGTTTTCTTGCATCAGCACTCAAAATGGGATTCTGGTTTGCCCTTAATGCTGAAGTATTAGCATATCCAGCTCTGTAAAATACATGCCCTCCGTATCAAAAAGTGTTTGTATTGAGTACCAAGTGTACCAATCAACTCCTCTAGTTATATTCAAGAGGTCAAATTCAATCTCACTTCCAATACATCCATTCTCCTCTTCCATAATAATTCCCATCAAGAGCTATCAATTATTTTCTTAACTAATATCTGTTCCCCTTGTCAGCCTCTCTTTCCATCATACACATGTCTGTCACATATATTCCTATATTCTTAATCTATTTCATCAAAGTCGTTGTTATTATCTATATCTAAGCTAAATATATTATCTTAATAATGATGGATATTTTTATTGGTTTCCTTTATTGAAGATGGTTTGTGTATCTCAATATCTCACTTTAATTTACATCCTAGCCCTTACAGCTGAAGTTAGAAGTTAGTCTGGCAAAACCAGAAGAACATTGTAGTCTTACTTCTAATTATATAGTAACATTCATATTTGACCTATAATTATGTACCCTACTCTTGCATTGCCAAATCAGAGGAAGAGAAGTAAATAAATACTTACTCAACATTTATAGCCTCCGCTGCCACCTCAGAATTTTCTTTCATTATTCTCCTTTTCTCAATTTTCTGTTGCCTTAACATATTTGAAAACTCGGAATCACAATCAAAATCTTGTAAGTTCTCATTGGGTCTTTCTTTAAAGACTCCCTTTCTTTTAACATCTTTGCCAGATTTGAGCCTTGTCTGTTTTGATGAATATACCTGACAGTCAACATCATCTGCATTTCTTTTGCTGAAGTTGTTTGAACTTGCTTGACAATCAACATTCTTTTCTTGCACATTCTTACTGTTTTTGTTTCCTATCATCTCTTGATTATTGTTGTCCGAGGCCTCATCTCGAGCCTTTGGACTCTGATTATCACCAACCGTCAAAACCGCACTGGCTATAATTCCAGGCATATGTAGAGCTTGCGCAAGTACTAGTGATGGGCCCTTGATTGCACGAGTCATGAAGGCGTAATCGTCCTCTGATTCCGAAGCTTCATCCTCTGCCAAAGTACATCAACTTTGAGTTAATTTTCAGCATTTTTTTTTTTCAATACTGTAAATAAATTGACAATTATGAACTAATTATAACAATATCAACAATCTTATTTCTTTGAAGTACAATTCTTGTGCATCATAAGATAATGGAATAGGTTATAAGCACTAAAACTATGTAAATGCAGGTATTCTACATATATTAGGCATGATGAGAAAAAGAGTAATTAAAACAGAAACTAGAACATACAGTTGGTATAAAGAATATGCAAATATATACATTTAGAATGTCTTCAAAAAAACAAACTAATAGGAACACACACACACACATACATACATACACACACACACACACACGCAGACAAATACTCACACACACACACACACACACGCTCACACGCTCACACGCTCACACACACACACACACACACACACACACACACAATTACACATTCATATTAGCATTATCATTACGATCTACATCATTTACAAAACATCTTTGAAGTCATATTTTGGCTATGTGTGGTATATTGAAACATGAGCCATGCACTCCAAAATAATAAAACCAAAATCAATAAACAACTAAACTAACTAAATTTAAGTTAAACTATACAGGATGAAAATATCCATACACCAATGATGTATGCATTAAGCCTACCTCATACAGAACATGCCATTAATAAAATAAGAAAATAAATAAATACATCAAACCTGTGCACTTCTATACTCTTCAACTAGAAGGGATGCAAATATTAGCTAACAGCTAATCTCAGTAACATGATAAGCACAGTAATAGCTAATTGGAAACATCAAATTACATATTTTTTAGACTTGCATATAAAATGTTACATTATCAAACCTTGTTCCTTGACAATATCCAAGTCCTTGGATGATAACTAGATGACAAAGGAAATGAATGTCATAAAGAAAATGACTAATGAGATTAAACTGTATAACAAAATCATTAGTAGAAGTAAGAGCGATATTTTTTTCGTATTCTACTAAGAACATAAAGCTTATTACTTGATTGTATTATGTACGAATTTCAGGAATTTTATTTTACATACACAACATACCTGCAAAATTCTGATCACTTTCTATCAGCTGCTTATCCAACCCCAGTTCCCCTGGGTCAGGTAATTCTAAATTTCGCACAGTCTTTTTCCGAGCTCCTCTCATAATGCTGCTTGCCAAACCTTTAGATTTACGCTGGCCAGACACAGAATTGTAAGGATTTGACTCATAGAAACTGACTTTCAGTTTTTGTTGTGTATTGGCTGTCCCAGAATTTGTTGCACGTAAAGCCTGAAATAACAGGAGGTGAAGACATACTTGCCTAATAAATATACATACACTTATGTTTAGCAAATATAGCACTACTCCTTCCTTTCTACATATGAATTCTTACAAAACAAATTGCAAATACACTCAATCTTACCCTATCCAACAGAACATTTTGTCCATCTGCTTCCTTAGAATCCTCTTGAAGCTCCTCAGTTGGAGCAATGGAATCATTTGTAGCTTGTTCTCTTGAAGTTACTCTATGCTGTTGCTCAGTTTTCAAAGCAGCTTCCTCAATGAAACCACTATCTGCATCAATTAAATTTTCTTCTAGTTCATCTATAAGTATATTTCCTGAAATGAAATAAAAATGCAAGATATTGTAATATAAAGAATAATCTGCAGAAAGACTTATTACATTTTCTGTATTTCTTCAGTTTTATATTACTGATGGGCGGGGGACTTACCATTCTTCTTGCTATTTTCAATATTTAAGTGTAACCGCTCTTGTTCAACATATTTCCTTACTAGGTAACCTCTGAAACCAGCCTGAATTTTTGTAGCTGCTATTTCCATTATCCTTGTAACTGACAGACCACCATTCACCATTAAAACTTCTGCAATTTCCAACTGTTCAGCAACATATGCACAATCCAAAGGTGTATATCTGTAAAAGGAAGCACAGATAATAAAATTTTCCTCCTAAAATGCCTTAGGCAAGCAGAAAAAGCAATCACTTTAAGAATGAAAAGAAATAAATAAAGAAAAGAGGAAATAAACACACACACACACATATATATATATTATAGTTATAGCTATAGATAACATACACACATAGAGAGAGAGAGAGAGAGAGAGAGAGAGAGAGAGAGAGAGAGAGAGAGAGAGAGAGAGAGAGAGAGAGAGAGAGAGAGAGAGAGAGAGAGAGAGAGAGAAAGAGAGAGAGAGAAAGAGAGAGAGAGAAAGAGAGAGAGAGAAAGAGAGAGAGAGAAAGAGAGAGAGAGAAAGAGAGAGAGAGAAAGAGAGAGAGAGAAAGAGAGAGAGAGAAAGAGAGAGAAAGAGAGAGAGAGGGAGAGAGAGAGAGAGAGAGAGAGAGAGAGAGAGAGAGAGAGAGAGAGAGAGAGAGAGAGAGAGAGAGAGAGAGAGAGAGAGAGAGAGAGAGAGAGAAGAGAGAGAGAGAGAGAGAGAGAGAGAGAGAGAGAGAGAGAGAGAGAGAGAGAGAGAGAGAGAGAGAGAGAGAGAGAGAGAGAGAGAGAGAGAGAGAGAGAGAGACATATAGAGAGAAGCATATAGAGAGAAGCATATAGAGAGACATATAGAGAGTGAGAGACATATAGAGAGAAGCATATAGAGAGACATATATAGAGAGATATAAATAAATACATAATTATACACACATACACATATATATGTATGTTCTCATGGTGTTCACAGCAAATATATGTGCATATGTATATACATTATTTAAGAATGCTAACATATGTTGGTATGTAAGCCTAATCAGTAAAGTTTTGATTCTATCAAAAATTTCACTACTATATTCACAATGTATTTATCAACTCATTTATCAACTTTTTCATGTACAAAATGCTTTAAAGTATGATCTGATTATTTTCTTCAAATCAATCCAACATTCCCTATCACAATATCCCTACATTTACTTGCCTTACTTCCTGAGGTAGCAAAGGCACACCTCATTACAAAAGACTGTATTTCTCACCTGTCATCAGTAGTCTGTGTGTAGTTGGGATATGCACGAAAATCTAGTAGTGTATTAACTGCTCCTAAGTGGCCTTCTTGTGCTGCCCAATGTAAAGGACTCTGACCCTGTTAAGAATAATTAATATGGTTTGGGAAACTGTTCTTATAAACATTAGCATGTGCTTACATCTGGGTTTAATATTACTTACTGCTGAGGATTTCCTATTAATGCTTTACTGATATTCTAAAACATCAATTTCATGATTTATAAGTTAGTTGGAGATGAAGCTGCACTCCAGGATTTAATGCCAAAATTCAACATATCATTCTAGTAATTTATCTGGTTACTAAGTCTGATAACTAACATCTACTAAATTATATATGGTATAACTAAAAATAATATGAGAACACACTCTACAGGAAACTCTTACCTGATGATCTCTGGCATTTACATCACCTCGATTTTCTAATAATAAGAACATAATGTCACTCAGTCCTCTGTATGCTGCCATATGAAGAGGAGTGCGTCCAGAGAAATCTCGAATATTCACAGATGTACCTAAAAAGTTGAATTTAGTAATGTAATAGCTAAATGGACTTATTCATGTATTTATACATTTATAAAAAAGAATATCTTTCTGTAAATATCATTTACTGTTTTAAAAACATGTTCCTAAATAAAAGTATAAATGTAGACAAATAGTATAAAGTCATATATTTATGAATACTAATAAATCCATCAATCCAAAGATGTGCAAAGAAAGAGAAAAATAAAAATCCTATAACCCTGACTGTTTGTACCTGCTTTTATGAGAATCTGGGCCAAGTAGAGGTGTCCACCAAGAACTGCATGGTGCAGAGCACATTGACCTTCACTGTCTCGATGATCAAGAGATGCTCCAGCTTCTGCTAGTAATTTAACAATATGGGCATGGCCACCTTGTGCAGCATGAAGCAAAGGTGTGCAGCCGTCATTAGCACATATGTCAATTGGTGCACGCAGGCGCAGTAGGACACCAACAGTGGAGACATGACCTGATCCTGCTGCAATGTGCAGGGCAGTGCATCCCCCTGGATCAGCCTGAGTTAAGGATGATCCATGTTTTGCCATCACTGTGAGGGCTGAATTAGCACCACGTGCTGCTGCCCACAACATGGCTGTGTGACCTTCTTTTGATGGATTATCCCGGACACATGGTCGCCTAACCAACTGAAATAATAACACTTTGGTGGTAAAAGTTCTTTTTAGAGAATCATGGAAGTACCAATTCATACTTGTATATGGAATTCATTATTTTATTTTTTCTTACCAGTTCCACTGTATCAGCATGATCAAGCTGTGCAGCATAATGTAGTGGAGTTGCTCCATAAACATCAACTGCACCTAAATGAGCTCCACGTTCTAATAATCGGCTGACTATTGCTGTCAGTCCTCTGAAATATGGTTTAAATTAATTAATGAAAATAATATATGACTGTAATTGATGGCTAAATTACTAGAGATTGTAAGATTGTACTTAATGTAAACACTTTTTTCCCAAAGTTAGTATATTCAGTCACAAACAATGTGAAAATGTTTTAAATGTCATCAAAAAAGTACAAACCTGTTGCAAGCCCAGTGAAGGGCTGTCCTGAAATGATTGTCTGTTAAATCTACATTGCATTTTGGTACAGAGAGTATAACATCAACTATATCCTTTCTTGCTTCAGCAACTGCTAAGTGCAAGGCAGTTATCCCATCATAGTCTTGCCAGTTCACACTTGAAGGTGCTGCACCTATCAGTGTCCGAACACATGCTGTCGCACTTTCAGCCTTGCTTATAGCAGCCCAATGGAGAGGTGTTTTTCCTTCCTGGTCTGGCATAAGGTTGTTTGCCCCATGCTTTATTAGTAGTCGAACATTTTCCTCTGAGCCATATGCAGCTGCCCAGTGTAATGGGGTCCTCTGAAATTATAATATGACTTTCCCAATAATTGTACTAAGGAGTATTTGATGAAGTCTGGGACATGATATGCAACACTTGCAACAAGGGTTTCTGAGATATGTATAAAAATTCCTGGGCGCGTATATCTTGCCTTAAAGAACATATAATATCTTCACATTTTTTTCCTTTATTGCATACTATGACAATAGGCATATTCTGCAACAGTGAAGGTTTATGAAGATATACATTTCATCTATTGTTACAAAATGAACAGGACAAATTGATTAAATTATTCTTAAATAGTCCAGAGTATTTCCTCTATACAACATGCACAAAAATTTATGGCACAGTTACAGATTCATAACGTGTTACAAATACCTTTTTGTGATCAACAGTATCCAAGGTTCCTGGTGCAGCATATTTCAGTAAAGCATGAAGGCACTTGCTGTTGTTGTGATGTGCTGCATGGTGAAGAGGTGTCACACCTCGCAAATCTTGGGCCAACCACAGCCCACCCTGATTATCAATGAGAGGAAGTCCTCTGCTTTCTACTGCATGTACAATGGCCTTAATACACCCTAAGTAACCCTGAAAATAATTAATAACCATTATAAGTGTGAATTGAAGTTATTGATATGATCCAAGCATTCCATTCTTTCTCTTATATTCCATGTTATGTTTACAACTTTTTATGAGGAAAAGAAGATGAAAAGGTTAACTCATTCATGATGGGATGACATCCAATCACATCATGATAGGCATCTTTACATTATGTATGGTCAAGTCTGTTCTAAGTTGTGTGGACTAAATATATATGGAACTCTAATATATATGGTACATACTGAAAGGGCACTTATTGGGCCATATATGGTAAATGTATTCTCTATAAATGTCAAATGTATGGTTGTTCCAAAATGCATTCAACAGGCTGTTGGAAGTTTGGATACTTGCCAATGTTGATGAACTTATTACCAAAAGTAATTTTTTTCAATAGCGACCATATTTTCCTTCTTTTTTATATATTCCAATCTGATATGTTCAATAAATGGATCAAATCACAAAAATTATTATTATTATTATTTTTTATGGAGAACTGTGGATGTGTACATGGTTTACTTGTTAATGCTTATACCCTTGCTCCTCCCACGAAATGACTTGAAGTGGGCTCTAAAAGCTGTTTGGTATTTCCTTATTCATGTACATATACCATAGCCTAGTTACCTCCAAATCACCCTCTACCATCACCCAGGGATGGTCCCCTTAAGATTATTACTTGAGATTTTGGGGATGAAAGTAGAAAAAGGGTGCATCCTCATCACCACTTAATAATCATAACATTTCCCAGTAATTCTAGCAAAACAGGTTCCCTTGAACAACCTATGCTATACCTTCACATAACTCATAGCAAATGAAAAGAACCAAAGGACCAAACATCTTACCACAAATTGATAAAAAAAACAGAAACAAGTAAAAAATATATAATGAAAGTTGAGGGCACCTATACTACACACCTTATATCCAGCAAAGTGTAGTGGAGTACATTTGTGTGAATCAACAGCATCTGGCCGAGCCCCAGCACGCAGCAACTGGTCCACTCCTTCTTGATTGTTACCCAGGACTGCATACACAAGAGGAACACGACCCCAGCGATCACGTATCTCAAGGTTAATATTCTTCTCTAAAATTTAAAAATGAAGCAAAAATTTTTAAATACCATTTGAAAAATTATACAAGAGGAACATTTTTAAACAAAGCAAGATATTACATAAATCAAAAATAAGAAAACATGAAAGGGTTTAAAACTG